TGAATGAATAATTCAATTAATAATTTTTAAGAATTCAAGCCCTGATAAAATATTTACATTTCAATATGCATTTAGATTTTAAAAACAAAAAACCTCTAAGCTCCCTAGAAGAAAGAATAAGTTACTTTCAAAGATGCAAAAAATCAATCACTCTTTTGCAGCATTAAATAACAACAGAAAATGGAGCTGTTTTTATTAAATTCAAGGAGTACAATATTGAATGAGCAGTGATCACTAAGTACAATTAAATAGAAATAAGTGACTGCAAGAACTAAGAAAAAAAGTTGTGTTTTTAAAATCTAACAGGTAGCAAAAATCAGGAGAAGATAAAATATTAGGGAGACTCCTTCATTAATTATATATATATATATATAATTCACTGATTATATATATAATATATGTATATATATTATATATATTTTCAAATATATATTTATAAATAGTTATATATATAATATATATATATTATATATATAACTGTATGAAAACTGAGAAATAGGGGAAGTTCACAACTCATCCAGTAACCATCTACTACAAATGGCAAAAATCATGGATTTAGATTTTAGATCCTGCAACTTCATGTAAAAGAACTGGGTTGTGTGTGACATGTATATCTTAGGACCATCACCCCAGAAAATCAACTGTACTATCTGCATAGTTAAAATTGTAATTATCCTGGAGAGTCAACTTTGGATAAAAAAAATGGCTATTTACCAAAAAGAGCTATCCTGTAAATTTAGGTTCAAATCTATACTCTTACAGGTATTGGCTGACTCAGAAGTCATGTTTCCTGTCTGCCACTAATGACATCACATGTTATTATAATTTTAAATAGAGTTTTTAAGAGATGAAATTGGACAATCAAAATAATATGAAGGATATCAAAAACAGGATACTAACAGACTTACAAATAAGAAAAACCAGAAATATTAAAACATCAAGAAAAAATAGTTCAAGTAGTTTAGTGACAATAGGGGAGCAGTTTAAAAATGATTCATGAAATTGAGGTAAGTAGTATTTTGCCTGTTTTATAAAAAGGGTATAGAAACTCAGTGGTCAAGTAACTTGTCCCGTTATATATAGCTTACAGATAAAAAAAGTAAGTTTCAAATATAGACCTTCTGGCTCCAAACCCATGATCTACCTAGAGTTTGCAATAGTATGGTATATCTTAGATTCATAAACTTTATTTGGAAATGAAAATTTGTGCAAACTATTTGAAAACCAGTGTGACATTTTTTGTATCAAAAAGCGTAACAATTTTCATTACTTTAGACCCCATAATCTCCTGTGTGGGATTCTACCCTGGGGAATTAATCCAATATGTAGAAAACAATACAGATGAAGATATTCATAGCAACATTTTAATTTAAAAAACATTAGTTGGAAGCTACCCGAATAGAGCAATAGAACACTGGTTAAATAATATTTGGTATACAGACATATGATAGACTATTACTTGGAAAAATGAGAAAATACTTATTGTTAGAGAATAAAAGTAGGACATAAAATTATAGGTACATAGTTATATTAAATATATGTAATGAAAATATAGGAAGAAATACACAGACACATACAAAAGACAATTATCTGAAGTTGATAAAATAGTAGGTTATCTATGCTTCCAGTTTTAGATAGTTATATCTTTTTAAACATTTTTAACCTAATTTCAAGTGATCTCATATAGAGTTCAAAGTGTATGCTTTGATGAAATATATCATCAGGATGGAAATTGAATCATGGGGGAAAAAAATGAATGAAGTCTCAACTTTAGAAGGTGTGTGTGACTTGTGAATACCATATTAATTTAATTTAAGAATCATGAAAGAAGCATAATGTTAAATTCCAAATATTTTTGTTTTTGTTTTACCCTTTCTCCCATAAAAAAAAGGTGGGGGGCAAATAATTATTTCACTGTGAAAGTAACAACTCTTGTTCTTTTTTTTTTTTTTAAACATGCTAGAAAGAGAGTGGGTGGATTTTTTTTTAGATTTCTCTGTAGGTTTTATTTTTTTATTGATTTTTTAATTAAAGCTTTTTATTTTAATTCCAGTATAGTTAACATACAGTGTTATATTAGTTTTAGGTGTACAATATAGTGATTCAGCAATTCTATATATCATTACTCAGTGCTCATCATAAGTGTACTCTTAATCCCTTCACATATTTCACCCGTCGCCCCCACCCACCCACCCCTGATATGCTTTATTTTAAATGAGTACCCTCAGTTAAAGTTGTTTTCTTTTTAACAAGAACATTTTTTACCTGAAGCATACTTCAGAATACACTGTGTAGATTTCAGTTGGAATTTGGTTTTGTTTTTGTTTTCTTTTTCACAAGCAGTTACTTAAGAAACATTTTATCTTTTACCAGGATGTTTAATTTTATGGTGATTAATCAGAACATTAAACATTCAATATTTAAAAGTCAAAATTTATAGTGAAATCTGTATCAAATCTGCATCAAAATTTATTGAATTTAATCATACTTGTTTCCCTCAAATACATATATTTAATTAATTTAAAATAATCTAACCAATTAAAGAAAATTAAAACAGAGAAGTGGGAATCAGATATATCACTGGAAAGGAAAGATATGTGTTTGTTCATCTAATGACATCTCAGCCAATTTTGTAGTTTGAAAATAACTTAGATTTATTCACTTAAAATATTCTCAAAGATGAAGCAAGTTAAGCTCATCATATAAAAGTTAGGATTTTAGAGGATTCCAGCTTAATCAAACAGATATTTGAAATTCAATCACTCAGCTGTATACCAGTTCAAATCTGTGAAGAGACAGAGATGAGAAATAGGAATTACCTTTTTAGCCTTTAAAGAAAATAAAGAGATAGATATATACAAAGATATATGAGATTTGTGTAGATGTATCAGATAGGGGTTAGTCACAAAGAACTAAATTACTCTAAATAGTTTAAGTAAGAAATATTATTGTTATTAAATGTTTTACAAAATTATCAGTGTAAATTAACAGACTTCAGGGTGACCTGAAAGATCAAGAATGACTCTTAAAGTCAAACTATAGAACCAACACAAAGGAAGATGTCTTCTAAGCCACCAGGCCCAGAAGCATACTCCATTGCTATGGTTAAAGAAGCCACTATAATCAGGATGGTGCCACATTCAGGAAGCTGCTGTGATCTGTAGACCTACACTGTTGTTGCCAGTTCCAGAATCCCACCATGCAAACTACGATTTGCACCAACAAAATGGATGTCCCGTGCCCTGATTCTCGACTCTCATAAAGCTAATGTTTAGACAATGAGTCACTTACTAATGCTGCCTTGGGGGGCCAGGAGGGAAGGAAAAATAATGACTCCATTAATGCGCTTACCAGCAGAAATGCAGAAGCAGAAGTTCAATCTCCATCTCACTTTTACTTTCAAATCTCAGGCATATTCATCTGACCGGCTGAAGCTACAACACATTGAGTCCTAACTGCAAAGGAACCTTTAGAAATAAGATTTTTAGCTCTCCATCCTCTTCAGTACAGGGAGATAACTGGAATGAGAGTGAAATGGGTGTTGAACACTAATGTACCATATGCCTTTGGTTACTCAACATACATACACTTCCTTTTCCCCACTCAACAACCCTCATAAGCAACAATAAGCAACAACCATGTTCCATACTGATATGGTACAAATATCACTTTTACAAATGAAAATGTACTGACGCTTTCCCTAAGCAGGAAAGTCAGAGAAAGTTCCATCAGTAAATCTGTCCATCTCAGGGTGAAAGTTTATTCTTCCTCTAATGAACTACATTAGAAAGTTACCTACTTATGACACTCTATAAAATATCAGAAAAAGGAAGGGGCCCAAGTCATTAATATGTATACACAAAACTGTACCTGGAAGCAAGTATTGCTATTATAGTCTTCATTTCATAAAGTTGCAGTTACAATTTTTAACTTCCTTCCTCCTCTACCCATTTCTTACTCCCTTTGCCTTCAGCTAGCACCTAGGCTGGTTGAGGTGATGCGGTGACTCAAATGTTTTGTTTTGTTTTTTTTTCTGAGACACAAGAGCCTATAATGACTTCCTCTGGCTATAGCTGGAAATGGCAGTCTTAGGCATACTCCAGAATATTTCAAATAAATAAAAACCCCTCACTGCCTATACTGTGTAGTAGCAACCTTAGTTGAAAGCCTCTGGAAAATATGGTGTTTGGCTTCTCAGCCTCTACAGTAGACAAAGCACTTGAAGGAGGATGAAATGGGTACAGTGATCCACTTCTTTCACCACGGTAATTAATGGGGGTTGGGGGGGCTACTGTTCCCATTACTTTTACCACAGTAAGTAAGTAGAGGAATAAAAACTACTCTTTTATCCACTTAAATATTGTTACACAAAAAGTTACTTAAACTCACAAAGGGTTCAAGTTTGGTATGAGAGCATCACCATGAACTTATAATCAGGAAAGATCATCTCAATGCATAAATTGTGCTTTGACGGAAAAGTTCATTTCTGCCTCCCTCCCATATCCTAGCAGTGTGATAGGTATCTACTCCCAGGTGTCATGAATGTTCTCTGTCACCTCTTCTCTATTAAACTCATACAGCTTATATGACTCTCCCTTCATGTGGAGCCCAGAAGGAAATATTGTTCATGTCTCTTTCTCAAATAATTCATTCAAAGCTCCATAGCTTTGAAGGTAAAAGTTTCTGATAACCTATAAGAGAAGAGCATTTCTTCAATTTCTTTGAATGATTCTTCCTTAATGTCAGGATGTGTTTTGGGCTCTTTTCCAAGCAACTCATGCTACCAGGCTAGAAGGTAGCACCTTTTGTTGCTCTGTTGAGTACTGCTAAGATGCACACAGATGCAAATCAGGCAGTGACTAAGACTGATTTTGCCTTGTTAGTAGTACCTGTTCATTGGATGATATAAGAGTGATTTCTTAGGGCTTTAGGAAAACTAAACAATCACAAGCATGGAAGAAACTTCAAAATTAATCTGTCATTTAATAATTTGTTGACAGGTTGGTTATCGGAAAGACATGGAACAAGAAGATGCCGCAGAAACAGTCAAAACTAGAGGGAATGAATCCTCTGTCATTCTGACAGGATTAGAAGGAAACACTTTATATCACTTCACAGTGAGGGCTTATAATGGAGCTGGATATGGGCCACCTAGCAGTGAAGTGAGTGCAACCACCAAGAAATCCCGTAAGTGACCTGGGATTTTTGTTTGTTTCAGACAAAAGGGAAACATCTTTTAACATTTCTGAGAGCCCTGTGAGGTACAAAATAAGGAGAGTTGAAGGGGAGTTTTGATTCATAGTCTTGCTTGAAAGCTTAGATCTGAATTCCAAAACTAGCTCAGAAAATTTTGCATTCACAGTAGATAAAAGGTTATCTTCCTGTGAAATAAGGCCAAGCGATTTTGACACAGGAAGGAAGATAAAAGGATTCTGGTTCAAAAGCTCAGTAGAGTAGCTATTAAAATGACACTATGGAGCAAAAACCCTCCTTATCTGACTCCAGTTGGAAAGAAGCCTATGGTGCCAGCAAACTACCACACACAAGAAAAGATTGAAATACAAAGATTTAAGTGAAGAAATGTATTTAAGACTCCTTGCCTGTTCACTTTCACTTTTTATTTTGCAGCCCCTAGTCAAGCACCCAGTAATCTCAGGTGGGAACAGCAAGGGTCTCAGCTTTCTCTGGGCTGGGAACCAGTCAGACCATTAGCCAATGAATCTGAAGTCATGGGCTACAAGGTCAGTATGTTTCTTCACTCTCTTGTATAGACACTCATCTTGAAAATTGTTATTATGAGGATGTACAATTATAAGGCATAAAAGGTCATTAACATACCTGTTTTTCCTAATCATTTTCTACCTATAACTTAGAAGAAAGCTTCCCACAATAGGTAAGCCAAGACAGTCAAAATCAGTTTTAACTGCTCAAGGCATAGGAAGGGAATGAGTAGGAAAAGCAGCAACAATTTGAATACAGGATGAAGATGGCTCCATGAAGCAGTGTCAGGACCATCAGCACTTAAGGAGAGAGCCCTAGCATTTTCTCCCTGAAGACAAATTTTTCTGGCAGATGACAAAGACTGGATAATTTAACTTGGGTGGAAAGACTATTAGCAAAAAAAGAAGAAGAAATGCTAAGGCCAGCACACTGGGTTAAGAAAGAGTCCATGGAGAGATAGCAAACTCCAAAATAGACATAGCATTTCACATACAGTCATCCTAAAATGTGCCAGCAAGAGAGCTGGAAATATGAAAACATTTAGTTTGTTTTTGAAAAACAACTTTGTCTCTAATTTTAAAATATATGTGATCTATGTATTGATTTGGTTGAATTTCAAATTATTTTTTCATCAGATTTTATTATTGTCTTAAACTCCATATAGAACCACACACTGAATATTATTTATATCAGAAATTTTAAGCATGTTAATAATATTTAGACTGAAAATCATCATCTATGTGGCTTTTCAATTAACAGAAATGGTAACACAGTAGTTTGTATATAAAATGCTAAAATTCTGAAGGTAAAAACTTAAGAAGTTATAAATGAAATATATTTTTAAGGTAAGTAATTCCCATTAATCATATTTTAAGACACAAATTATATTATTTCTTACAGACTATAATTAGTATGGATGGCAGACACCCTCATTACTCAAACATACATACTGAAATCTGTTCTAATCCTCAGAAATATTGAATTTGATCTTTTTGGGGAGGGCAGGTGAGCCATTTTTTATACCCCTCCCTTTGCCTTCTTCTTCTATGCCCTTACCCAAATAACCATGTCCTTACAACTTTTCCTCTAAGGCAAATATACCTTCAATAATTAGATGTAGCAGTATGGCCATAAATGGTGATATACCTTCCAAGAACCAATCTAATATCATTAGAACTATGGCAAACAAACTCCCAAACTAGAGAGGCAAAGTAGAAAACAAGTTAGAACTACATGAAAGCATACAGCCATCTGACAGAAACAGTCAGAGTAAGGAACCTCTCAGGTAATAAGACCTGAAGAATATGTGAGGTTGGGCATAGGGTTCCCAAACAAGGTAATCCTTCTTTTTGCTCACAATTACCCCATCTATTTCTGTCACTGTTCTTCCTCTTTATATGTGGCTGTTTCCCCAACGAGACTATATGTGATAGACGGCAGAAACTCTTTCTCATCACTTTATCTCCAATGTTTCTAGAACGGATGAATAAATTAATTTAACCCAGCTAAAAGTATATTATGCAATTACTCTTAAGTGTATATTATCAGATGTGTGTTTTTCCAGCATGGTCTTCCCGTTTGTTAAGTGTAGTTGGAAAAGAACACTGGCTTCTGAGTCAGACTTTCATTCAAATCCTAGTTGTGTAACTCTGAGCAAGTTGCTTAATCTCTCTGAGTCTCATTTTCTTAACTTCAAAATGGCAAAAATAACAATAAAATAATATTTATCATACAAGATTGTTTTATGGATTAAATAAGATAATTTATGTAAAATAGCTCATAGCTATTAGCATATAGAAGGTGATCTAAAAATAGCTACTATTTATTCTAATTGTTTTGAGAAGAGAATATCTGGTTAGGTGAAATTTTAACAAAAGGAACTGATCTTTGAAAGTTGCCTGACAGTTCTGTCTAAATGAAGACAGCAGAAGTTACCTTGGAATACCTTCTTGCTGGGGGAAGAATCACTAGCATATTCCATCTTAGTTGTGTAAGTTAATGACAAGTAGGTACACATTGATAGATGATTTTTTTTCTTTTACTTCATTGAAATAGTTATACTTCCTTATGTCCTTGAGAAGAAAGATCTCATCCTAAGAAAGGAGTCTGCTGATAACAAATGGAGTGAGACCTCAAAGCTTGTTCTTCTGTGACTAATCTTATTAGAACTTCTAATGAACAGGATAATCCCCAATGAGAGACCTATTGGCGGAAATGTCACAAAGGGCCCCATGAGGGAAAAAGGACTAGACTAATGACTGTGGCTTAACACAGAGCCTGGATTCTCCTGGGAAAGTCTGGTTTTCACAGAGCAGGTAGCTAAGGATGAAAGCTCCTCCTGACACAGGCACAAAGGGCCAGGAATGAGATTACAAACAATAGCTGCAAATTTAAACTACAGTGTTGTAACCCAGAGAACACAAGCTTGTAGCCCCCTTTTTGAGCATGACTTTGTGGAAAACTCCTCCAGCCTAGGCAAGGATCTGCACTGCAACTAAAGAGCTGTACCATTTGGATGGAGGTTCACCCAAGTATGGAGAGGCCAAGACTGAGCATGAAACTCAGGGGAAAAAAACCTCTTTGAGTTCTACTATGTCCCCCCAAATTATTGCCAGACCAAGAGTGACCTAACCACTGGGCCAAGAATACCAGTATAACAGTGGGCCACCTCTTAAGCACAATAGCATACGGCAGTACAGAAGATTAACAAAAGTAGGTACAAGTCAGCACATTATTTCTCCATTTCTCTATCTGTGAGGCAATTTGAGGTAGAGGACGTCCTGCTTAACAGGGTAAGAGAAAGCTTCCACAATTAATTGTAATATCAAAAAGAGAAGTAAATTTGTTTTTACTCTTTGTCTTTGCCAAGTTACTTTACTTTTATAAGCAAAAGAGATCACTAGAAATGTACATGGTATGTAAGTTTGAGAATGGGAAACTTGGAGTCAATGCCTGAGGTTTTAAAATGCAAGGACTGTGTATTCCACCTTTTATATTAAGTCCAAAGTAGATGAACTCAGAAAAGTCTTCATCTAGAAGTTTTCCAGATTGTAAAAATGATTGAAAAGTGATAAATATGGAGAAAAATAGATTTGTTCTCCAGACTTGGTCCATAAATAACACACTCAACTGTTTTCTTATAGTTAGGATACTAAATACAGGATTGAAATCATTCTTTAAAAATAACAAAAAGAGTAAGATAAAATAGTGGAATTTGACATTCAACCAATCCATTTTCTAAGAAGCATGGATCTTACTTCCTTACATAATTTCAGAGATTGAAGTGTCAACATATATAAGGACAAAATGTTAACAGAGAAAGATATGATGAGAAATTTTGTGCAAGGTGTTCAGAAGATAAAGGAGGTCTCCTCATCATAAATCTTATCAGAGACCTCAAAAATGACCAAGAATATAGTGGAAGAGGGATGGAATCAAGCCATAAATGGTTGTATCAGGGGAGACATATTAAAATTAAATCCATTCAGTTAAATTTTAAGTATTACCTAGTTGTGAAATTTCTTACTGCTTTTTGAGATCATCCAAGAGATCCTGAACTTCTGGGATTTTGTTTAACAAGTCCAGATTTAATAGCAATAATTTCAAGACATCACAGCTTTCATTAAAAAGTAAGAGAATTAGAAGCTTGAAGAACCAGAAGAATGTTGGGGAAAGATTGTCCCTTGAAGATATGGCTACAAATTATTCTCATTCAAATAAAATAACTCCTATTTGAAAAGTTAAGTCAAATTTGGGAGTTTACTTAGTATATTTATAACTCCTTCAAGTCCATTATTATTCCTTTCTCTTCTTTTGTTACATTTCCCAAATCGGAAAAAGCCACCTATATTATTAATATATTATTTATAAGTGATGGGGAAAATGGAGCAAAAACTTCAAATAAGTTTTTTCTAACAATATATTTTTCCCAAATAAATGCTTTTCAATGAAGAAAATGTCATTTTTTAATTCCTCTAGTGTGAAGTCTGTATGTAGAGTCTTTAATTTTGGCACATCTGTTACTGGCATTCCTAAAGAAATACCAATGCCAATAACAAACTGTGGACTAAAGCATATTCAGCCATAATTCTCCTTAATAATCTTGAGAATGAAGAAATTTTTTCTTTATATTATGAAAGAAGTTTACCAAGATTACAAAGTAAAACAGCCATCTTATCTCCACCTTATTCTTCTCATGTAGATTTAAGCCCAAGTGAAAGGGAAAATAAATATTAAATGCCCAAAAGCTATACTTTCAGTTGTGCAAATATCCTCTTTCCCACTGAGTGAAAGTTTTATCCATTCAGAAAAAAAAAAAAAAAAAAAAAAACAAGCAAAAGGAATTCAGGACAATGCCTCAGGCTACATACCAAAAAAAAAATAATAAGGTCTTGTTTTCTAGGCTACAACTAAAAAGTATCCTTTCCTAGATATACAACCCTTTCTCCATATATCTTTCCCCCTTACCTCTACTTTCTGCCTGTTTACAGAGCCAGGGAGAGTAGGGGGAAAATCAGGCTCAAAGTTTACTGGTTATAATGTGTTCCATCAATGTAGACAGAAATTTTTGTTTATTTATTCAACTTAGATATCAGGGCCTTCCAGACTCTTGAGATATAGGTACGCTTGGGTTGATATTTTATTCCACACCCTACAGAATTCTGAAGACCACCTCTATATTTATCCAGCTTCTCGAGGGAGCTTAATGTTTTTGGCCATTCTAGTCTCATTGATTTCCTGTATCTTGCAGCTGTTCCTTCATCTTATATTCACTCCATGTACGGGATTCAGCCTCTTTCTTGTGATACCCACAAATTAAAACGACTCATATATAATGAGTTATACTATCCTCTTACGTGTGATTTTCCTTGAAATTTTTTATGATAAAATATTTTTTCAAATGAAACAAAAATGGCTTATATAATATCAAATATATACACGTAGAAAGTAGACTTGATAGAAATGTTGGCGGGAGCAGGTAGAATGAAAAGCACACCATACAAGCAAATATCCGAAAATTGCCCATAGAAAGTCCTGTTCTTAAAAGTGCTTTTGGTCATCCTCCAGTCAGTGGCTTCTCACTGGTGCTTAACGCTTCCCCAACTTCTTTTCATGTTGCTTCTATCATCTTGCTGACTTCTCACCCTCCTATTGCTACTGGGGCTTCAGATTCCTCACTTTCCATTATGAAGAGCAGATGTCCCTGTTGACTATTCCCAAGATCCCAAGATGCTCAGGTGCTGAATAGGCCTTCCCTTTAAAAGAATCCATCCTTCTCAGGGGCACTCATGGGTAAAACCAGCAAAAATTTACTGTTATATATTTAAGCCTACTCACACCATTATTGTGTTACCATCAATATAGACTAGCTGTTTCCAGATCATGCCTTTCAGAATTGAAGTACCACATTAATTTTTTGTTTAGAATCACTTATTTGATTAACTCATTCTTCCCAGCTTGTTAAGTAGAATTTGAGGATAGTCTTGAAAATACAATTTCCTTTATGCCTAAAGATAGCTGTCATCACAACCGCCATTCTGTAAATGTCCAGATTCTCAAAGTACTCCCTGGACTCCTTATTGTCAATAACTATTTCTGACATGTCTTGATAAGTCCTTAACCTTCTCATATTTCTCATTCTCATTCATCTTTACTAAATCAGGATTTTAAGATGAGCCAAGATTCTCTCAAGCACCTAAGACATTAATTTAATGTATCTTTTCACTTAGTATACCTATTACTGACTCATAACATCACACCTCCCTGGATGTACTGGTAAAAGCCACATTTAATCTCAAACTCCTTTTGCTACTATTAACTGGTATTTTTCCTGCTTTTACCTTTTGTTTCCAAACCTCAACTGATCCACAAATTTTTCTTCAACTCTGGATTTTATAGCAACATTAGATACGCATTACTAGCTGCATTTTTCTTTGTCATAAGAATTGTAATTTATTGAACCATAATAACAATGTCCTCTAAAATAGTCACTCCCCTGCCAATCCTCACCAATTTACATACTTCCCCATTGCCATCAATTTGCTTTCTAATTACCTCATGTGGATGATCAGAATTCTAATTCATTACACTGCTGCAGTCAAAATAAGAAGCATAAAGTCTGATACAATTGTCATTTTTTAAGCTGAAAGAACCTGCTGTAGGCATGCTCTGAGAAATGTTTCTGATTCCCCAAATCTTGACCAAGTACTACTCTGTGAATTGCTATATCACCAAATACATTTCCTATTACACTTCCCTGCATTGGTATCTGTCCCCATTGTTATATTGCAGGTGCCATGAGAGCAGGAACATGTGGTCTTGTTCTGTTATGAATCCCCAATATATAACACTGTGCCTGGCCCACATGATATGCCCAATAAATATTTGATGATACTCTTACCACTTTGCAACTACATTGAGGCTATGGCTTCCTTCCCTATAAGTATTTCAATACATACAATTATTGTACATGCTAAATACTTTTAGAGAGAAGTTACTTCTCTCCTGAGACCCTGAAGTAAATTTAAATCTGTGAAAGAAAAGTGAAAGGGAGGGACCATTTATTACCAGAATGCAAAAGGGAGATCAAGTACAGGCAGGTTTCAATATATCACAAGAATGCTCTACTAAAGTTTTTTTTCCCTCTCTGTAGGTTAGTTCAAGCTCAAAACATATTTTTATAAGAAAAAACATAAATTTTTATCTAACTTCCTAAGGTATCTTTTATGATGCAATTGAAATACTGACCATTGACAATGAACAATGATGGCAAAAGAAGTAGCTTTCTCTTAAGTTTACCATGCACCAGGTCCTATAATGGAACCAAATTTGCCCAGACAGAAATATGGAGATTGTGTTTTGTTTAATTTTGTTTGTAGGAGATTGTTTTGAATCCAGGTCTGTAAGTAGAAACAAAATAATATAGTTCTGAAGCAGCTGTTAACTGATCATCAGAATTTTAACCTTCTAATGCAATTTCTTCCCTAACTAGCCACATGATCTTGTATAAATTGCATAACTCCTATGATCTGTGCTTTCTGATTTGTAAACATAGGATAATTCTATGTCCTTTTTAAAAAGATTTTTATTTATTTACTTGAGAGAGAGAGAGAGTGAGCAAGAGAGCAAGAGAGAACAAGCAGGGGGAGTGGCAGGCTGAGGGAGAAGCAGGCTCCCTGCTGAGCAAGGAGCCCGATATGGAACTCAATCCTGGGATCATGACCTGAGCCAAAGGCAGATGCTTAACCAACTGAACCACCCAGGCGCCCCAGGATAATTCTATGTTCTAATTTGTAATTCTGAAACCATTTGCCATGAATACATGTTCTATTCTAGTACAATGGACATCTAGATGTCAAAAAGACTTTACTATCCAAAGTATCTAAATGCCAGTTCACAGAAAAGCAAACAACCACAGAAGTAAATAAAAACACTAAACTTTTCAGTGATTTCCTACATTGTTAAAGATTATTGATATATTTAACAAACTATCTCTTTAGTCCTTTGAATTTGAAGATGACAGCTGTGAGTACTCCCTCAGGATACTATTCATTCCAATAATCAAGAATGAAAGACTTTAGTGATATGCCCCCTCACTACCTGCTGCTCTAGTCTCATGTATCCCCATCCCTGTATGTCTTCTGTCTATCCCATACCCTAATGTTATGGTTTCTCATCGCTTAGGTGTATTTTTGTTTTTCTTATCTTTTCCTAGAATTCTCATCCTTTTCTCCATCTGGTAAACTCCACTCATCTTCAGATACTTAACTCAGGCATCACCTCTTCTGAAAAGCCTTTCCTAATCCACAGACAGAATTAAACTCTCTCTCTCCTATATTTCCATAGCATCTTTTTTTTTATTAACATATAATGTATTATTTGTTTCAGGGGTACAGGTCTGTGATTCACCAGTTTTACACAATTCACAGCCCTCACCATAGCACAGACCCTCCCTATATTTCTATAGCATCTTATGTACACTTCCACTGCTCCATATAGCACATACATTGCATTTACTTACATATCTGTCAAAGCCATAGGCTTCCTTAGCTCAAAATGTGACATATGGTAGTCAGTTAATACAGATTTGGAATCTTCATTTGAATATGAAATGTTCAAATCTCTGTTATTATTTCCAGGTTTTTTATAGGCAAGAGGGGCACAGCAACAGTCAAGTTATTGAAACACAGAAACCTCAAGCAGCAGTACCACTGCCAGATGCCGGAGTCTATATTATTGAAGTTCGAGCATACAGTGAAGGAGGGGATGGGACAGCTAGTTCCCAAATCAGGGTACCATCCTATTCAGGTAAGTTTTGACATAATAGGCTTAATGTGATGACCACCAACAACGTTAAATAGTGTAAACCTCACCAAAATTAATATGATGGATTGCATGGGTGAAAACTTCGGAAGGGTCTCACTTCTCACTCTGATTTCCATACCATCCTCCAATTAATAGGAATGTTGCCCTTATGTCCATAATTGAGGAATTTCTATAAAGCTAGAAAGGATTTCTCATTAGAACGTTTCATTAGAATGCGCTTATTTTTGGGAAATTCCCTTGTCCATTCTAGTCTCAAGCAGCACCTTGCTGGCCATTTGGGCTTTGCAATATTGCTTTTAAACTGCCAGTGCACAACTTTAACATACCTATTTCTCTATTACCTTGATTACCTTTATCATTAAATAATGGAGAATGGGGTACAGAAGAGCTTAAAGGAACTGCTCCTTAAAATTAAATTTGGATCATCTTTATTGATTTCAGAGTAAATTGTAAATTCTATTGAGTATCATTTTTTGTTTGTTTTCCAGGTTTATTGAGATATAAATGACATGTAACCCTTTGTAGGTTTAAGGTATACAACTTGTTGATTTGATACACTTATATACTGCAAAATTATTACCACCATAGCATTAGCTAACACCTTCATCACGTCACATAACTGCCATTTCTTTTTGTAGTAAGAACATTTAAAATTTACTCCCTTAGCAACTTTCAAGTGTGTACTACAGTATTATTAACTGTAATCACGATGCTGTACATTAGATCACTGGAACTTATTTGTGCCTCATAGTTTTTATTAGCAGTATTAATAATTTCTAGCTTTTATTGAGCCCTTATTATGTGTTAGGATTTGTCATAAGTCTTATACATCATCTTATTTAGTCTTAGTAATAATTATATGAAGAAGATGACATTATTCATATTTTAAGGAGAAAATTTAAGTGACTTGCCTAAGATCACACTAAGTGGAAGAACCAGGATTTGGACCCAAGTGTGCTTGTCTCCAAGGCCACGTATCTTCACCACTACCATCGTTATTACACCAGCAAGGAAATTAAAGGAAGAGAAATTTTATCAATTTAGAAATGAGTAACCATTTCACTGAGGTAGTCAGAAAAAAAAAACACAAGATTTAATAAAGTATACAAATCTCTCATTAAGAAAATATTAGGCAATTTTCCCTGAATTCTTGAATAAAAAATGTTTAATGTGCATTTAATTAATGGGCAATTATGAGCTTATTTATTGAGTAATCATTCTCAAGCAGAATTGTCAGCCTAAAGGGAAGTATCCAGTGATATCCTGTAGGACTCTGTGTGTGGCTTTGTTGCATTCAACGTATTTATCAATTTGGATTAAGACCAGAAGCATTGCATATGACTTTTTTTGATGCCACAAAGTGGGATAGAAGGCAAATATAAGGAAGAAAATAATTAGACTGAAGCTTTGAGGAAAAGTTATTTACATAATATCTGACAAGTAAATTCTTACAGAAAAATATAAGATGAGATAAAGATATATTTAGGACAGTTGATAAAATTTGAATAATGTCTAGATTAGATAACATATATATCAATAATTTCCTTTTCTTAAAAAATTGTACTGTGGCTATGTAAGAAAATGTCTTATTTTTAAGAACTCTACATTAAAGTATTTAGAGGTAAATTCACATCATGTCTGCAACTTACTTTCAAGTGACTCAGGAAAAATATATGTATTTTTAGAGAGAATAATAACACAACAATGATGAAACAAACATTTAAGGAATCTGGATGAATTCTTTGCTCTTTTTTTACAACTTCTTGGTGCATCTAAAATTATTTCAAAATGAAAAGTTAAAAATAAAAAAATATAAACTATAGGAAATCTGACATTTCTCAGAAATTCAGGTGAAAAAACCTAAGAATTTAAATACATTGTGGCCACACTAAAACTTAATACACTTTATGATTCATTTATAAAAGTATAGCTTCAAGTGCAAAAGAGGTAATAATTTCTCTACATTGATTACTACAATTCAACTGTTCATATGTGGGTGTTAAATTTTCAAGAGCACCTTGAAAGACTGAAGATTATTTCTGAAAAGCGAAAAAGATGGCAACTCTCTGCTTGCATCATAAGTCTCAAATTTCTAAAAGCAATGATACAATGAGAATTTATTGACCCATGATCATGTTCTTGGTATTACACTAGGTATTTTTCATATATTATCTTATTTTATCCTTCTAGCAACTTCTAAGTATTCTATTATTCTCTGACTCCTCGAGGTTCCTGTCAAGTCTAAGACAACCAGATTATAAAATATCATCTGGACAATATCAGCCCCAAGTTTGAAAGTATTTATAAAGACATTGATTCTCCCACTGTGTTTCAACTTCTATTCTATGAAAAACAAATTGTCAACTTTTATATTTTAGTTAAAAAAATACGGCTAGTGCAATCCATTTTCTGAGTTTTAATAAAATGAAAACTCTTAATATTGTCTATCTCAGACCTATAGAAAATGAACAATTGGTTTCATTCTATCATTTTCCAAAAACCAAAAGCCCTAAAAAGTTCAACAACTGACTCGAGTGAAATAGCTAGTTGGTTTTGCAAGTGGAACTAGAACTTAGTCCAGTGTTGTTTGTGTTTTGTTTTGATTTGCTCTACCAAAATAATGTTTTTGTTTTGTGGATTCTTTGTGAAATTTGAGATATAATCCCTACTTAGCATCCTGAAAATGAGATGTTTTGGTAAAAGTGTCATGCTAGTCGATTTAAAGGACTCAGCCACTCTCATAAATAGAAAATACGTTTTCACAGTTTTTATTTATTAAGAATGCACATACCACTCCAGTGAAGCTTTGTCATCATGCCTTTCTTATAGTTCACATGTGGCCATGCACTTCACAATAATTCCTTTTGTACAAGGTGAAATACAAGCTACATTCTCCAATATGTTGATTAAAGTTCTATTAATGCCTTAGATATAAAGATTTTCAAAGGAAAGATTTGCCACTGCTGCTGCTATGTGTGTGGTGTGTGTATTACCAAACAAATGACCCCCCAGCTCTTAAATAAACATCTGGAGAAAAAATTCGGACACTATTTCCATAACAAAAATCACAGCCAGATCCCATTAACACTCAGCTCTTGCCAGAGAAGATAACTTGACAGAAGGATGATTCCAAAAATTGGTTGGTACCTTTATTTTATGATTAATCCATCATTAAGGTTTTAATTAAGGCCAATCGTAAGAGCATCTGTCTCCACTAATTCCATCTTGATGACTTTAAGCAAGTCCTATTATCTAAGCTCCAGTTCCCTCATCTGCAACAGGGTGAAAAAACGTTACTTACTGTTGTGAGGATTGAATGAGATAATATGTATAAAGGGCTCAGTACAGTGCATTGCATTTAGTAAGCATTCATTAAATATCGATCATGATGATCATACTTCAGACTTGAGGAACCATTAACTGGAGTTAGGTCTAAGGGTAGTACTTAGTTTATGTGGAGCTTATTATGTGGAGCTATCAAAGCTACTTCAAACTAATCTGTTCAGATCAGTGTGTTTAATCAAACAGCCACCTTAATACATTAACTGCATACAATATTTTGTTCTCAAGAAGGAATAATTTCTCCTGGGTATAGTTAAGAGTAATGAAAGATGGCTCTCCTTCCTTTGCCGAGTTTGGTGTGAGAATCTAGAATTTAAGCCTGCTCAACCGAAACAAATCAATGGAGAACCCATAAGTAAATTAAGTAATTTAAATAATTTTATTATCGAATTCAAACATTAACTGAAGTAATTGAATTATGAATTCTTATTGCCACAAACTTTCGCTAATTATTCTTGCTCCCTTTCCTGAACAATACACTATAGAAATCATTTTATCGTTCATACCTGGAATTTGGGATGTTTTCTATCATTGGTGAAAATTACACTAAATCTCCTGAGTAGATGTATTTTTTTTTAATGTGACATAGCCTTTCAGTACAGTATTCCATATAGAATTCTGCCTTCCATATAATTTTTGGGAGCCCTATACAATGTCTTGTTTTATAAGTACACTCTCATCAGAAACAAACCCATGTTGCACTCCTTTGTCTTACATACCTAAAAACAACTCTTTCTATGCTCAAGCAAAATCAAAATAATTAGCTCCATTTAATGCTTCTCTATTTTCACAGGTGGGAAAATCACTAGTGCCCAGTCGACCCTCCACACACTCTCCCCATCTTCATCATCGGTAACATTGCTCTTGGCATTGATGATTCCCTCAACCTCTTGGTGAAAACTGCAGACTTATCTTGCTTTGCTTTGCTTTAGCTTGAAAATAGCGGTGAATAGAGTGTAGTGTAAGTGGAGACCCAGGACCCTGAGATGAGCTTTAAAAATTTGGGACTACACATGGTGCACTTATAGGAGGTTGGGGGGAATATTACTTATCCATCAGGTTTCTCTTTGGTTTTGTAAATGGAGAGGACAGTTCTTGGTCCAATAAAATATGCAGATTGTATGTAATGAATTTTTTGTAAGCAAAGGTAATTTCTGTCAAATGTATTCTTTACTTTTGTAATTTGTTGGAATTTGATTTTATATATGATGACCCTGAGTGTGTGCCATCCATTTGTTAAGTAAGTGGTCTCTAGCAGATCTGTTTCAAACACAAATACAAAACTGAGAATGAAAAGTTTGCTAAAGATTCTGAGTCTACTGTTTTTCATTTTCCCTTTGGCTAAGTATCCCAATTAACAGGCTGGTAGAAGATATGAAAAAAAAAAGTACTTCAGTTGTGTGATCCATTATAGAATAGTACACAAAATTTTTTTTGAAAAATATTGTGTTATTGCATAGCGAAATAGCAAAATTTGCCAATATGCTATTCTATATGCATCCCTAGAGCAAGTTATTAGGGTAGGGAATAAGCCATTCACATTAGTGCAAGGTAAATAGAGAGTCCAGATGAATTTAAGTGCTATGGTTTTTCATTAATTACTATGTTATCTAGCTGCAAATATAATAAATCTTTATTTTTAATAACAAAAGATTAAAGTCACAAAAAATATGGTCACTAAAACCTGCAGTCACTGATATGTTGCGAAGGGTGCTAACTTGAAAACAAAATTAATACAGGACAGAGCTTTCCCATTTTCCCACCTACTGCCAAAATAGATGTTGAATTAAGTTCACGGTTTTCTTCTAATTGGCAATAATTTTAAGGACAATTAAAATCTGTTGTGCAAATAATTATGCATACATATATAGTCTGTGAATTAAAATGTTTCAAGCATAACAAATGAATTTTGATTTTTTAAACACATCCACACATCACATACCACTTGTAAAATGTTACCAACCATTAAAATAAAAAGGACCTCTTGAATAAATTGATTTTTTTAATTAAGTTCTGGAAACATGGCCTCAGTACAGGGCCTCAGCTAGTCTAACTAGCCATACACTGCTTGGGAAATGTTCCCCACTTGCTATTTTGGTGAGTCACCATGAACCAAAGTGACTCGAGACAGTTGGATATTGAAGTGAAAGTTTTCTGCTTGATATTATATAGAAGTTCCACCTGCCACATTCATATAACACCCAAGAAGGATGACTGAAGGGATAGTTATTGCAAAGTCAAATGCCAAAAAAGAGCTTGGAGAAACTAGTTTTACAGATGATATTAATATGAAAACAAAAAGTATTCTTTTCTTTTCTAAAATCTAAGCCTGTTAATTCTGTTTGGAGCATCCTTAACAGCAAGCAAAATGAAGCAATATTTAGCTCACCCTGCTGGCTCTAGAGGTTAATCCCTTTAGAATCAGGACATATTGGAATTTCTTTTCTGAATATCTAAAAGATTGGTTTCAGAGCCACAGCACAACAATTTAAGTTGGTTACTCGTTCTGTTTGGGAGGAATTATGTCCAAGACACCCCTAAACAAACAAGAAGTGATTTAAAAGACTATTTTTAGTTAACAGATTATTATGGTAAATTATGACAGATGGTGAATATTGAAGCCTGTGAATCATAACAACCAAGTGGCCTTCTTTGAGCACCTCCTTTGGAGTGGGAGAGGCTGGACTTTGCAGATAGAGGGATATGAATGATTTAGCAGGCAAAATATGAACTCTCATGAGTATGGTGTAGTTTGCAGAAGGAAACTGTGCACCTGAAAAAAAATGCAGCAAGAATATTAAAGAATAGACAATAATTTTCACTTCATATTATAAATCATTTTCTTTGTTTCCCATGATGTTTTATACTAGATGTAGTGAAGAACTTTAAGAATCAAGTTATTACTGAAACTCTTACAAAACAAAGCCCAATAAATATGTCAATATATGGCTAATTCAAATAAACCAAGATTCCCAACTAGTTGATGGATGGTACACATCTGATAGAATATTTACATGTAGAATGTCTGATGTCTTCTTACAGGAATCAGAGATAAGCAATGTTTTTATTCAGCCTGCACAGAATATGTATTTTGCATCATAAACCTATAAAAAAGGTTTTAAATGTTTACCTACTTATGTATTACATACTTGTTACTTTGTAAAAAGCAGAACAGCATTCCTTATCAAGGTACCTTCTTTTTCAGCTGCAGTACTAAGTGAGCTTTTTTTTGGATGGGATAGTAACCACACAGTCTTAAATCACTAAAGAGACTGTATTTTTGTATAATGGCAATTGAACTATGAAGGAAAAAACACTCCTCATAATTAAAAATTTCATGAAAAGTGAATGTTTTGCATATCCAAATAAAGGTACTGTGGACTTCATGTCAAACCGTTAAATATATTGTATACAATCTGTATATATACTATATATAATGGTATATATCATGTGGAAGGCACAGTCAATAATAGTTCTGTGTACTGTTCTTGTAACATTAGATCTTTTTAATAAATAATTCTCTTTTTATTGACTTTTATCTTCTCTCCTGTCAGCTACATGAATGAGTTTATTTCATGCAGACTACAGTATGATCATGATTATGGTGGTGTTTTCATGCTGAAAATATCACAATGTTAGTACTTTGCATGCTGTTATGACTTTAGGTTCAAAAATCTCCATAGGTGTCCATGTTAATTTCAATTCAAAAAGTAGAAGCCATGTCAAAGAAGAAACCAAACAAAGAAGAAAAAACAAATGGGATAAATTTAGGGTTAGATTCATGATTTATTTGTTCTCAGGAAAGGAGACCATCAATGAGTTTTATAAAGAGTTTGTTAAATGCATAATTATGCTTTTATTAGAAACAGTCTGTCCCAGTCTATCCTAGGTATAATTCTCATAGAGCTATTCACTCTTTGTGCTCCCTTAGCACCATGTATAATTTGTAAAAGTTATACACCATGTATAATTTCTGTTATACCAGCAATCACATGACTTTACAACGATTTGCTTATGAATGTTTCCCCTCCACTCTCTAAACTATGGATCCTCCAAGGGAGACTATATTATATTCATCTTAGGATTTCTCTCATTGGTACATATCACAATACCTAGGACATATCAAGTGAGCAATTAATTTCACGTTAGCCCTAAAATTTTCCTGTAAAACAGGCTTCCTACACTTAGGTGATTATATAAATCACCTAGGAACCCAAATCTCAGAGTTCTGATTCAGTAGGTCAGAGACTAGGGAATCTTATTTTCAAAATCTCCTCAAACAAAAACTGATACAACCTTACTGAAGGGAATTTGGCAATAACTAGTAAAATTTTGCATAGATTTACCCTTTGACCTAGCAACCACATGTCTAGGTATCTATCCCTAAGAAAGACTAGCAAAAATATGTAATATTAAGGGAATAAACAAGGTGCAAAACAATGAATATATGCTTCCTTTTGTATAAGAAGTGGAAAAATGTATTTATTTGCTAATACTATCTAAAAGAAATAATGGAAGACTAAACTACAGACTAATAAAAATTGTTGCCTATTAAGGAGGGAGAGAATGGGATATAGGAACAAATAGGCAATGAAGCTCTTTCTCTATGTACTTATTTCCTAGTTTTGACTTTGGAACTACATATTTACATTAATTTAAAAATTAAATTAAAAGGTAAAAACAAAGCAACCTCAAAAAGCAAGAATAAATAGAATATATTGAAAATAACTATACGTTAACCAAATGTTTGATAAGTTAAAGTTTCTCTTTATAGAAGAATTACAACCACATAGATAAGTATTTCAAGTCAGTATTTTGACAGTACATTCCTAATGAGACATACATACCAAGGATAACACACACACACACACACACACACACACACATGCACACACACACACACCCCCCAAAAGAAATCTTTAACTACATTCATTTCTCTTGTGAATAGCATAACTAGTTTGTGTTTTAATTAACCAATATATGAATATAAATGTTAAAGTATTAGAAGAGTGAATTTTCAAGATACATCTGTAAAATTAATTTAAATAAAACCTGTAAGCTTTGATTTAGAAATATCAGTATGAATTCATAGTTCATTTAACCTTTTTCTTATAAATAACCTATTCTTAGCTTTGTTCTACAAAAGTCTAGAAGAGCAATGAACACCTTTAATGGAAAAATAATACAAATAAATAAATAGCACACAAAACATGGTCTCCAAATTCCATTTGCCATTAAAAGGACATTTCTTGGAGAAATGGCTGATTTAAGATCTCAGGTAGGAAATGTATGAGATGAACCTGGGACTTCTTACTGTGCTTGTAAAGACTATCACTTAAGTGGAGATTTAAACATCTCCCACTAGCAAAGATGGAATAACTTGAGCTCAAAAAGAACAATGACATCAGTGGATAGAAACACATGTAATATCTACAAATCTATGATTTCATACTAATATACACACAAATCACTGGTTATTTTTGCTAAATGCAAAATTCATTATTCTGAGATTTGTCATAAAAATTTTAAAAGGGCAAGAATTGAGTATTCTGCCTTTCCTGTAAGAATTGTGTCTCAGGAAAATCAAATAGTTGATGAAGAATAGCTCTACTATTAGCTGTGATAAAAGAATCACAGGTAATAAATTCAAGAGGAATGATAGAATTAAAGAATTTTACTCAGGCAATGATTCCAGGTAAATGTTAAAATCATTAGTTAAAAATGCTGATGAAGAGCAGTGCAATAGAAATTTCAGACTGCCATTATCTAAACCCACTGATTTTAACATCACTGAAAAGGAGACACAGAGACATTAATATGAGAATAGGCGGTAAACAGCACTACCTCTTAAATATTCTTGCTATAAAATTTTTATCATGAACCTGAGTTTATCAAAACTTTAGCCCTGAAAATAATATTACACTGAATGTTAACTAACTGGAATTTGGGTAAAAATTAAAAAAAAAAAACTGTAGGCTTAACCGCTGGTTAGGAAATA